AAAGTTCCCCACGACATGATAAAAGTAGTTTTCTCCATGTCCTCTAAGGCCATTTTGATTTGGTTATACCCAGAGAAACCATCCATGAATGAAAAAACAGAATACTGAGTTGTATTATCAACCAGAACATCAATATGAGGGAGCGGGAAATCGTCTTTTTGGGCTCGCTCTATTCAAATCCTGATAATCAACACACATCCTAAACTTTCCATCTTTTTTAGGTACAGGAACGATATTAGAAACCCACGGAGGTTAAGTGGTAATGGCAAGGAAACCAGCATCTAACTGCTTTTGAACTTCCTCTTTGATCTTAACTTCCATATCAGGTTTGGTTCTCCTCAACTTTTGCTTTACCGATGGGCGTTCTTCTCGAAGAGGCAGACGGTGTACCATAATATTTGTATCTAGCCTAGGCATGGTTTTTGGAACTGTAAAAGAGAGAAACTAAGATATCAGAGAACTATAAATAGAGGAAAAACAAACAAGCGAGTTTGAGATTGTTACCTTGGACATTGGGGCATTTTCCTCAATCTTTTCTTCAACGCTCACATTCCTTTTCAGTTGAACCTTGACAGCTGAAACAAAAGCTAGCAATCATAACAAAATATATATAGGTCAGGAAAAAAAAGAGTCAAAAAAACCTTCCATTCTACACTTTCATGTATTTCGAATTCGATACGAACATCTTCGATACCGATATGAAGATGGCCTTTGAAACTGTCTAGCGTGTGCTTAGTCGGAACTACCCGTTGTGCCTTGGGTTTAGATTATTCTCGGAGGACTTTAATCGAATCCTCATAGATAAACCAATCTGGAAATGGAGGGGCAAGATTCACTCCAAAGTCAGCAGATGGGAATCGAGGAAATTTGGGAGGATACATATTGAAGGTTAATTCATAATGTTTCTCAGGGGGAACGTATGGAGGGAGTCGAAGACTCTCCATTTTCTTTAGAAACTTTTCCTTCAAAGTCACAGCAACGTCGTGAACAGTCCGACTAAGTTCCCTTGGCTGGTAAACAGTTTCAAAGAACCTTTGGAGTGCTTGGATTTCTTTGATATGAGTTTAAGTACCTTTTTTTGCTTTATCCTGCACAGAAAGGAAAGCCTGGTTAATTAGTTTGCTGAAGGAATGAGCATCAAAAAACTCTTCAACATAATACTTCGACCACAAAGTATGAAACCCTGGTATACATAAGAAGCAAGGTTCGAAGGGAACGAGGGTCAGTTGAGTCTTGCCCTCATAGCATGCTGTCGCTACTGCTCCACTCTGGCCAAGGTAACACCTTCCAATAAGGGAACGAAGGTCAAATGATCCTCAGATAAGCTCCTAAACAGGAATTGGACCGCATTCACTTGCTTGCCTTTCTTCAAGGACTTTGACCTGCTTCTGATGATGATAACCACTTGATGACTTGAATATAATCTCTTAATTAGGCTTTGAACTTTTGATAAGCACACCCTTCTTGATCCCCTGTTAAATGCAACATGACTATGCAATGAAAATGCT